ATAACTTTTTTTCCCAGATGTTTTCCATCCATGGTTGGTTGAATCCATGGTTGCAGACGACGGAGGATATAGAGGGTTGACTGTATCTTTAGTTGTTTCCTGTAACATCTGGTAACAGAAAACCTAGTAAGGCAGTCTGTTTCTAAGTGAAAATCTCCTGGCATTATTTAGTTGTCACAGGTGATTTTCTTTCTATATATATTGAATTCAGAGAGAAGAAGGGAGAGGAAGAGAGAGAGAGAAACATCAATGATGAGAGAGAATCATGGATTGGCTGCCTCCTGCATTCCCCCTACTGGGGATCAAGCCCACAACCCTGGGCATGTGCCCTTGACCAGGAATCAAACCCAGGATCCTTGAGTCCACAGGCCGATGCTCTATCCACTGAGTCAAACCGGCTAGGGGGTTGCAGGTGATTTTCATTTTTATATTCTTTATCTCAACTCCTTACCCATCTACCACTTACAGTACTCCAGTTAATACAGCCTAGGAGTGATCTGGCTGAGTCACAGTGAGTCCTGCATATTCCCAAAGAGATGGCGTGAATTGTTTTAGCCTGGGCATGTCTACGTTACTCATCAAGCTTGGCCCTCTTTCTCCTGTTACTGTCACTAATATAGTCCAGTTTTTCTACCTTCCTGAAGCCCATATCACATTGCTCATGACAGGGATGAAATGCTTCATTTCAATCTGGATGGATTCCAGTTGAATTAATCAATCACAGTGTTCCTAGGCAACCACATGTATTGATTCCACAAAGCAAATCCTCTGAAAAGGTCCTCTCACTGTTTTATCCTCATGAAATCTGGATACGTTCTCTTTCTTGCCTGCCTTTTGTCTTCTGATCTTCTGTAAGTCTCAGAAAAGGCACAATGACAGATGTACCAGCATAAAGTTTCAGAGTAGAGCCGTTTGATTCAGGTAGTCTGGGTGGGAGACCTGGCTCTACCAGTTTTTTAATCTGAGTGATCTATTTTATTTCTCTTGGTCCCTTTTCCTCATGGGTACAATTAGAGTCATACAGTACTTATTTTACTGAGTTAGGTGAAATATTTTGCACAGTGTTTCACTGGGTAACATAGAATGTTTAACATGATTCTTGGCACATACATGCTGCAATCAACAGATGTTAGTTACTGGATTTTTCTGTTGACCATAGAGTTTACAGAATGTTAGTCCTGAAAGAGACATTAGACATCATCTAGTTTGAGAGATGAGCAAACAGCTATGTAGACAGTGCTTAGAGCAGTATCTTACTTAAAACCTGATTATGAGCCCTGGCTGCGTGGTTAAGTAGGTTTGAGCATTGTCCCCCTACACCTAGGTGTTGTGGGTTCAATTCCTGGCCGGGGCCCATCAATGTTTCTCTCCCTCTTAAAAAAAAAATTAGTAAAAACATATCTTTGGGTGAGGATTAAAAAACACACATAAAACCTGTTTATGAGCCGAAGTCGGTTTGGCTCAGTGGATAGAGCGTCGGCCTGCGGACTGAAGGGTCCCGGGTTCGATTCCGGTCAAGGGCATGTACCTTGGTTGTGGGCCCCTCCGCAGTGGGAGATGTGCAGGAGGCAGCTGATCGATGTTTCTCTCTCATCGATGTTTCTAACTCTCTATCTCTTTCCCTTCCTCTCTGTAAAAGATCAATAAAATATATTTTAAAAAAAACAATAAAACAAACCTGGTTTATGGACCATGTAGAGACCCCCAACCTGTATACCTTCGAATCGAATAATCAGATGCTGAGGTACATATCTCACCACAAACTCCTATGTTTGAGAGAAACTAAAATAGATAGAGGATGATAGTATTTTGATTAATAAATATGATCATAGACTCTAAGAATCCTTGAGA